AGAAGGCTGAGGCGGAAGGATCACCGGAGCCCAGCAGGTCAAGGCTGCGGTGGCCAGGAACGGCCACTGCACTCCAGTCTGGGTGACAGAATGAGACTCCAACTCAAGAAAGAAAAAAAAAAAAGAAAAAATTTATATACATACACACACACACACACACACACACACACACATTAGCTTGTGTAAAACAAAAATTATTTAATGTATTTAGGTAGCTCCTCAAATCTGAGTGCCTGAGTGAGATCTCTGAGTGATCACTGATTTCCACCCCCCATCTCTTTTGTTCTGTGGTCTCATTCATGTGTCAACATACATTCCTAGGAACCTATGCTGAATGCTGGGAAAACTCAACAAGTTATCAGTAGTCCCTGCTCTTAGAGAATTCCATTAAAATAGAGGAATAATAACTACCACTGAGTGTTCTTTTTTTATTTAAGTCAGAATCTCACTCTGTTGCCCAGGCTAGAGTACAGTGGCATGCTCCACGGCCACCACTAAGACCTGCTGGGCTTAGGCAATCCTTCCACTTCAGCCTTCCAAGTATCTGGAACCACAGGTGTACGCCACCATGGCTGGCTAATATTTTGATTTATTGTAGAGACACGTCTTACCAGGTTGCTGAGGCTGGTCTCCAACCCTGGGTTTAGACAATCCTTGCCTCTGCCTCCCAAAGTGCTGGAATTACAGGCATGAGCACCATGCCTGTCTTACTGAGCATTCTAAAGCACCAGTTTTGTTCTTTCTGCAGTCTGATTGAGTCTTTGCAGCAACCATCTGAGGTAGGTGTTCTTAGCCCACGTTACAGATGAGGAGCTCAAAGCACAGAGATTGAGTAGCCTGCTCAAAGTCATACAACTAACGAAAGGTAGGGGAGCTTTTCAAACCCACATGTATCTGCTTTCAAAGCCTGGATTCCCACCTGGATCCTGTGTTGACTCACTGATGGGCAAATAGACCATTATGCAGAGTGTAAGTTCTGTGCTGGGAGAAGCACAGGATGTTATGGGGTAATATAGAAGTGTCACTCAATCAAGCATTGGGACGGGGTCGGGGGCAGTTCCAGATAAGATATCAAAGAAGAGGCTGCGACTTGGGAGAGGTGTGGCAGAAAATATGCCACTTAGAGGGAACTATGCTCAAATCCTGAGAGTGAAAAAGAAAGTTCATGCCTGACATGTCTGAGGAATTACAAGTAGTTCAGTCTGGCTTGATAAGAGTGTGAGGGGAAAGAAATGAGACCAGAGGTAAGAAACCAGGTTGTAGGCGGGCTCGGTGGCTCAGCCTGTAATCCCCTGCCTTTGGGAGGCTGAGGTGAGTGGATTGCCTGAGCCTGCAGGTTCGAGACCCACCTGGGCAACTTGGCGAGACCTCATCTCTATAATAAATTAAAAAATCAGCCGGGCATGGTAGCGCGTGCCTGTAATTCCGGCTACTCGGAAGGCTGAGGCAGAAGGATCACCGGAGCCCAGCAGGTCAAGGCTGCGGTGGCCAGGAACGGCCACTGCACTCCAGTCTGGGTGACAGAGTCAGATTCCAACTCAAAAAAAAAAAAAAAGAAACCAGATTGTGAGGGATCTTGCACTTGCTATTAAAGAGTTTTGCCTTTTTCCTGAGGGCATCAAAAAGTCTCTGAAGGGCTTTAAGCAGGGTCATGAAATAAGATTTCTATTTTAGAAGACTTGTTCAGATTCTTGTATATTGATTGGGGTGGGAGAATGGTGTGAAGATTAGAGACTGGAAGCCCTGTCAGGAAACTTGAGCAGTAATCCAAGTGAGATCTGTAATCAGGTACTGGCTGTGAAGATGGAGATTGAGGGTGGATGTGTTGGGCCTTGATGATTGACTGGGAGGGGAAATGAGAGGGAAGAGCCCAGCTAGCATCTGAGATCCTGGTATGTGGCATAATTGGGGGATGCAGAAAGTGGAACAGATGTGCAGATTGTGGAAGATGAATTTACCTTTTATTTTTTATTTATTTTTTTTATTTATTTTTTTGAGTTGGAGTCTCACTCTGTCGCCCAGACTGGAGTGCAGTGGCCGCTCCCGGCCATCGCAGCCTCGGCCTGCTGGGCTCCAGCGATCCTTCCGCCTCAGC